AACCTTTGTTGACTTGGATGACCTTCCCTGGACAATTATTTTCTGGAGGTAATCTGCAAATTACATAAACAAATTAGCATTAGACCACCATAAAATGCAAGTAATTTAATTCATTGATTGAAGCTTTATTAATCTGTGATCGTGCTGCAAGTATTATTGCTTAATCAAATTATATTCTACATTCGCAGCATTTGTTTCCGATGTATTTAACCAGATACAATCTTTAAAATTCCAAGTTTTCTCACGTTCTTAACCAACAAATTCAGGACAAAGGTTTATATTTAATCCCAAATGGTAAGTTATGCAAGATTTTGCAGTCCTCATAGTCAGTTATAAGCTATCAATGAAAAAAAAATAAAATCCAAAAGGCAAGCAACTTAGGAGCAACAAACTGAAGTATCTCTTTTAGTGATAATTCCTGCAATAAACTTTTCCGCCCCTGGTTTAACCACCACAAGAGCACCAACATTGTGTTGAGTCATCTGCATTTGAAGAAAAAAAAAATGAAAAATGTTCATGGTCATATCTCATTGTCATCTTCCGCATAAAAATAGTACGAAAGCAAACATCAAGATTTACAGTGGGGCATATAGGGAAGAACAAGCAAATAAACAACACCTGGATAATAACAAGAACCACCAAAAAGAGATTAAAGCTTATATATAAACGTCGTATGTTTACCTAATTCAAAATCTCTAAAGATAGTTGAAAAAAAAGATGTGTATTAATTACCGATTTCGCGGCTTCATACACACTGTCATCAGTCGTGCACCAGAGCCATGACCCATCTGCGCCCTTCCCTTTGGCTTTCAGAACATCCGAAATTGTGGTGCTCTCGAAACCGTGCTCTTCGATACGGGCCGTAGAGGTTAACACGTGGCGTGCGAAAATCTGAGTCCTTGTCATGGCTGGTGGAACCACACGGACATGGCGAAGAATAACATTCTTGAGAAGACTACCATTGGAGAAGAAGATTGCTTTGATTCCTCCTTGCATTGTGGCTTTATCTAGCAAAAAAAACAAAAAAGAAAAAAGAAAGTGCACGATATTATTGTAAGTCTGATAAAAATATCGACAAATTTGTTTCAGCTATAGCATGTTTTTGCTATTGATAATCCTCTACTTGTGATTGTCTTTGAATCCTAAAGTGAATGCAAACTCTACATAAGGTATGATTATTTCTTCGACTCTGATCACTACACACAAAAAACATACACACATAGAGAAGAGATAGAGAGAGAGTGAGAGAGAGAACGAGAGAGAACTAAGGATCTTGAAGCTCACACAGTTAAGAGTAAACTTAACTTAGATCTTTCGAGTAAAGAACAACTCCACAATGTTATACATTTCTACAAGAGATCTACAGATCTTCCGAGCAAATTAAGACTTCATCAACATTAACAAATATTTAACCCTTTTCCTCTCAACCCACTTTTACACAATCTAAAAACTAACTAAGCATGAACTTTTATTTAACACCACACATCAAACAAGAATCAAGAATAGCCACCCAACACAAAAAAGGGGGAAAAAATAAAGGAAAAAGCTTTATTTTGTACTTCAAAATGCAGTTGAATCTTCAGATACTAGATGTGAAAGACCAGATTAAGGTTTCAAGATTTACCTGAAGCTAAAGGGAGAGGTTTTCAGCTAAGCTAGCAAAGCAAAACTCAGTTGATAAAAGAAAGAAAGATAGACAATAAACCAGAAACCCTAATTCAAAAAAAATCAAACCAAATTCCGGCGAGGTCCTGAAGATTTCAGTGAGCTCGTGAAGACGGCGTGACGGCGAGGTCGCGTTCGGTCAGAAGATTCACGTGGGTCGTGAGGTCGCGTGAGGTCAGAAGTGCAGAGGAGCGGGGGTGCGGAAGTGCAGAGGTCGGACCAAATTCTGTTCTATTTTTGCTCGTGAGGTGTTCGATTTCTCGTGAAGATGCAAGAGATGAATTCTTGAAGACAAATTTGATGAAGATGAAGTGAATTTTTTTTGTGAAGTGCAGAGGAGGAAAGGATAAATGAGCATTTTTTTTTTCAAAATGGAGGAAAAAAAGGATTTGAAATAACTTGGGGAACAAATTGTGTAAAACAAAGTAATATTGAGCTAAGGGTAATTTAGTAAAACCACATGCCAAAATGGCTAAAAAATAGGTTTTTTAAAAAAGGTGGCCAAAATTTGTGTTTTGTAAACTTTTATGGCTATTTAATGGTATTAACACTAAGGTCGAAAACCGAGAGTCGAGACCGCTGAGGTCGAAAACCGTGAATCGAGACTGCAGAGGTCAAAAACCGAGAGTCGAGACCGCTGAGGACGAAAATCGAGAATCGAGACCGCTGAGGTCGAAAATCGAGAATGGAGACCGCTGAGGTCGAAAACCGAGAGTCGAGACCGTTGAGGTCGAAAATCAAGAATCCAGACTGCTGAGGTCAAAAATGGAGAACCGAAAGACCGTTGAGGTCGAAAACCAAGAATCGAGACCGCTAAGGTCGAAAACCGAGAACCGAGAGACCGTTGAGGTCGAAAACTGAGAGTCGAGACCGCTGAGGTCGAAAATCAAGAGTCGAGACCACTGAGGTCGAAAATCGAGAGTCGAGACCGCTGAGGTCGAAAATTGAGAGTCGAGACAGCTGAGGTCGAAAATCGAGAGTCGAGGCCGCTGAGGTCGAAAACTGAGAGTCGAGACCGTTAACCAACGTCTTGAGTTTGAAAATTTGAATTTACATCTGTTGTGTTTCGATCATCATGTTCGAGCTCTCTTATACCACCTCGTCCTATCGCCCCTCAGTTCAAAGTTTAAAATTCAAGCCTGTTGTATATTCCTTTGAAAAATAAATCAACCACCAACCTGCTTGAGCGTAATGAATCCAATCTCCCTTCCCTTGAAGTCGAAAAATCCATTTGACAGAAGCATAATCAAATAAAACGCAATCAACCTGCTCAAGCCATAATGTATATACTCAACCCGCCACTAAGGTCGAAAAATAAGTTCGACAAGACTAAACCAATCAAAACTATCAACCTACTCGTGCTGTAATGAATCCCATCTCCCTGCACTTGAAGTCGAAAAATCAATTCGACAGAAGCATAATCAAATAAAACGCAATCAACCTGCTCAAGCCATAATGAATATACTCGACCCGCCACTGAGGTCGAAAAATAAGTTCGACAAGACCAAACCAATTAAAACTATCAACCTGCTCGTGCTGTAATGAACCCCCTCCACTTGCCCTTGAAGTCGAAAAATCAATTCGACAGAAGCATAATAAAATAAAACGCAACCAACCTGCTCAAGCCATAATGAATATACTCGACCCGTCACTAAGGTTAGGAGCACAAATACCATAAAATCAAACGAAATAAATCCATAATCCTGCTCGAACTATTTGTAATAATCTCGATCGACCTGTCACTGAGGCCAGAATCATAAATACAGCATAATCAAAACCCAACAAAACCATTCATCTGCTTAAACATCCATAATATACTCCCGCCACTGGGAATGAGTTTGATCGACCTGCCACTGGGATCAAAATCACATATACAATAAAAGCAGAACAAATGAAACCAAGCAGAAAAAATCAACCTACCTCCAAGGTCTTCGATAGGCTCCATGTCTTCACGACCCAACACTAGGATCGACCACCCAGCCCGGAGGCCTTAGTCATGGTGGATTTTATCTTCCCTCGACCTGCCACGGGGTTTAGGAACAAATATGCAATAATACCAGATCAAATAGAACCAAATAGAAATCATCGACCTGCCTCCGAGGTCTGCTCGAGCTATCCATGTCTTCACGACCCAACACTAAGATCGACCACCCAGCCCGGAGGCCTTAGTCATGGTGGATTTTATCTTCCCTAAACCTGCCACTGGGTTAAGAACAAATATACAATAATACCAGATCAAATAGAACCGAATAGAAATCATCGACCTGTTTCCGAGGTCTGCTCGAGCTATCCATGTCTTCGCACTTTCCCACCCAATCCGAGAGATGTTCGAAACAGAGGGTCAGCCTGCCCATCCCAAGGGGTGTACTAAACAAGCGGCCACCCAGCCCGGAGACCTTAGTCATGGTGGAATTTGTCTTCAGGCACTTGCCGACCCCGGGGGGCCTTCCGAAACAAGTGACCACCCAGCCCAGAGGCCTTAGTCATGGTGGATTTTTTTTCTTCAGGCACTTGCCCACCCAATCCGAGGGATGTGTGAAATAGGGGGCCAGCCTGCCCATCCCAAGGGGTGTACTAAACAAGTGACCACCCAGCCCGGAGGCCTTAGTCATGGTGGAGTTTGTCTTCAGCCACTTACCGACCCGGGGGGGAGGG